CATCGGTATGGATGCAGGGTGGCAGGCAGCCTGCAGCCCCCAAAGGTCACCCCGCAGGCGGGATGCTCTTGGGAAACACGCTGGCGTGTCCCTTGGGTGACACTCCCCTGCTCGTCGCGCCACGGCGTAGCACAGCCTGGACTGATCCCGACAGCTCTTGTAGCTGGAGGCGGCTGCTGTTTCCCGGTGTCCGCCAGGCATCCAGGCAGATTGAAAAGGGATTAAAAACATTAACTAAACGTCAAGGGGGCTTTGATGTAGCATGTGCAAATCTCAGCGTAGGCGGCCAGCTGTGCTTTGTGTGACTTCAGGTCATGAGTTCTGAAGATCCAGACTGTGACACCAGGGAAAGCCCCTGGCTCAGCGCTTGAAAGTTTACAGAAGGAAACGGGAAAGTTGAGAGAAGTGCTAAAGCAACTTCTGTAATAGCAGCATGTTCTTCTGTAGGCGCAGGGCACGTCTGTGCGGCCGGGACTTAGAGCTGGTGAGTGTAAATGACTTCAGATGAAGCGAGCTTGTTACCTCTCCCCCTTCAGGAGAAGCCGTATCTTCTGGTACGTCCTGGTGGGATACACTTAGGGTCTCTGTTTTTGATTCAAGACTCCAAGTTCTTTCAGGTGTATAACTAGGCCATCACAGTAGTTTATAATGTAGGATAAAGGATGCACTTCATCCTACATTTATCCTTCACTGCCAATTAATGGCAATTCTTTTTTTTTTTTTTTTTTTTTTAAACAATTATCTTGAAACGAGTCCAACTCTAAGGCAAACACAAGTGCAAGGGCTGGGTTAGGATGGGTAAGTTTTATTTACCCTCAGCTGGGACAGGAGGGGACAGAGCGAGCGCATGGCAGCAGGGACGAGCTTCAAACTCGGCGAAGGGAGCGTTGTCACAGATGACGTCCTGCGATGCCTGTCTGGCTGCGGTGGCGAGCGGCTGTGAAGGGGCACCCCTTCACAGGAACCCTGTCGTTCCTCTTTGGCTCCGCGTATCTACACCCCCTGGCCGGGCTTGCACACCGCCTGGATCCAGGGGGAGGTCCTACAAAGGCCGGTGGCAGCAGGAGCAGGGGAAGGGACCCCAGGCGGACCCCTGCCCAGCAGTGCTGCTGGGGCTGTTCTCGAGGGCCCGGCTGCGGTGGGCAGCGCTAGTGTGGGTCTACCCTTGTCCTCACCAGCTCAGGTTCACGTGCGGAACAGAGGCACTGAGACAGTTGATCAGAGAGGCAAAGGCAGTGCCCTGAGTGAGCAGACAGGCTCACCCTGCGTCCTCAGGTTGTGCTTTAAACAATGAGCGTGTTTAAAAAAGGAGCTTTTGAGGACCGGCCAGACAGGAAGGTGCTGTGAGTGCATCTCTCATCACCCCAAGGATGCAGGAGGATGAAGAAGGGGTGACTAGCTTGCATGCCGCATCACGTATAGCGGGGCTGTGGTCCAGGCTGGGGGCGTAGGCGCTGCTGTAGTTGCACACGTGGGAAGGCACGTAGATCCTCATCAAAGCTGCATCTAAAGCTCTTTTCCCTTTCAGTTGCTGCTGGTATCTAAACTTTAGCTCACACCTACCTGGAGAGCACGCAAGGCTTGACTAACCCAGGGCAGCTCTGTGCTGGCTGGGGCTGCGTGGGCTGGCAGCCACCAGTGCCCCCAGACAGCCGCTGACCCCCTGCGCTGGCATCTGCAAGATCTCTGGCCCCCATCCGCGTTCCCCTGGCAGGATGTGGCTAACGCTCCTGACTTCTTATTTTTCTCTGCAGCTTGAAGGATGCAAACGACCTGCCAATCCAGTGTGAAATTTCTCCCCTCGTCTCCTACGGAGGAGAAGTGAGTAGTGTCTCTCCAGAGGTCGGGCGCCCTTGCAAATTAACTAAGTAGGTGGGGAGGCTGTCGGGGCACGAGTGTGAGCCCTGGCCAGGGTGGGGATAAGCCACAAAAGCCTGACTTGGATTCACTGTGGAACTTTTTGAGGCAGTGTCCCCCAAGCCGCGAGCATGGGAGGGGACCGGAGCCACCTGTGAGAGGCTCAGTAGGTCCACAGAGCAGATGATGCGTGGTTCGTTCCTAACGAGCTGCTTCATCCTCCCTTAGGGTCTGGAAAAGTACGTGAAGGACCGAGAGTTTCGCGCACCTTTGATTATCGACGAGGATGGGATCCACGAGCTGGTGAAGAACGGGATGTAGCGGTGGCACGGTGCCCAAGCCGGGCTGGCCGTCCCACCTGGCGGGCTGGAAATTCGGAGACATGAAGGTTTATAGCTGTAACTGGTAGGGGCTGATCCTGCTCTCTCTGGCCCTGTGCAGAGGAGGATGTAACCCACTCGGTTCTTGGCATGTTGTACGCTTCTATTTATATTTTAATTTAAAAACCGAACACTTTATGGATTCCCCTGCCACAAAGCACAGCTATGGCACTGCTCTTTGCACTCCAGGCTGTGGGCATTTATTTTTAAACATGTATATAGTAATAGTCATTGTACATGCAGAGGATTTTTATGGTACGGGGCTGGGGTTAATCTTGAATTTTTATTTTTTTCTCAAATCTACATGACTATTTTTTTTAATAGGGTCCTTGTTTTTGCCCGTATCCTCCCTTTTAGTCATCCTTTGTACGTTGCACAACTGGAAGCACCCGATTAAACTCTTGAGTCCCTCCTGTCTGTCATCTGGTGTTGGTTTAGTGACGGTGGCTTTCCGCAGAAGCTCTACTCATAGAGCAGAGGTCCAACTGCGTCATACCGGGTGCCCCGCTCTGCCCAGCTCAGGGGCAGCTGCTGCCAGGGGGGAGTCGCAGGCAGGTCCTCTGGCCCGCGGCGCTCGTTTGCAGCATTTCTGGAGGAAGCGGAGGGCTGTGCTTTCCTCTTGGAATTTCTGCAAGTGGCGGCAAGCCTTGAGCAGGTAGGAACGGGTGGGTGCGCAGCGCTGCTGGAGTGCTTTGGGGTGAGACCAGCCTGGCATGGTGCCCTCCAGCAGCATCATCTGCTCTCTGCTTTTCCAGGGAGGGCTCTTCGGCTCCTGCCAGCGCCCACTGCCCTGAAGCATGGTGTCCCCATGCCCTTGAGGCACAGCAGCTCTGCTACCTCCCCTCTATTTTGGGAGGGGAGGTGGTGCTCGGCTGGCTCCTCTGCTGCTCCAAACCCCTGCTGCAGCCCCTGGGCTGGGGTGGCACAGCCGCCTACTGCCCCACAGCCACTTGGGGAGGGATTTTTGCCTTGTAGGGCTCAGAATGGGGCCCAAACCGCTCCCCTGGGGGAAGTCCCCGAGTCCCCCAAGTGCCAAGGTGGCTGTTGGGCACCCTGGGCTCAGCCGAGCACTTGGCTCCCCAGCCCTGGGAAGCTGGGGCCATGCGGGGGGTCCTGGCCAGTGCCGTAGCTGCTGGTGGCTTGCCATGGGCCAGCTGGGCTGTGTGTGGCCAAGGCGGGCTGGCGGCGGTGGGTCCCAGGGGAGA